CTCTCTCTCTCTCTCTCTCTCTCTCTCTCTCTCTCTTTCTCTCTCTCTCTCCCGTCGAACCGAGCGCAGCAACCAGCACAGCGACCACAAAACGCTCAAAATCATCGCATAGAAATATCACTGCACGAAGCCGGACCGGGGACAACCGTTAAGATTGTCGAGCGGCTCCGGGCTGGACGGCCCGATAGAAGTTTCAGGAATCATTTGGCGCGGATCCCTGAAACCTCTATCGGGCCGTCCAACCCGCGCCTCGCCGGTCCGGCCCGCCCCGAAGGCCTCATGCCGTGTCTGTCGGGCCCGCCTACCGGTCCCACCGAGTTTCCCAACAGCGGAAAGCGGGATCTCGCGGGATCTCGCGGGAGCGTTACGCGAGACCCGCTATTCGCATAAAGAGTGTTAAGGGGAAAAAAAAAGCCTCAGGCTCCTACACAGAGACAGGTTACAGCGGGGCAGGACTTACCGCAGGGAGACGGCCAGCTTCTCTCCAGGCTTGGGCATCCTGAAAGTGACGCCCCAAACACAGCACCTCCAACACCTCTTCCGTGCAAGTCAGATAGTAGCCTTTCGAATGAGCTGAGGTAGGGCTCGTTTAGTGGGTCTATTATAAAGGGGGCACTGTTCAGAGAGCCTTCTTTTCTTTATAATAGGAATTGTTCAGGGTTCACGAATGTACAAGGTTTTTTTTTTTTTTTTTTTTACAAGGGTTTTTTTGCTCAGGGGACCGGTCGTGACGGCCACGGAGTGGAAAGCTGACAGAAACTGTGGGGCTCTTGAAGCGCCACCCGTTCACGGCCCAGGGGGTCTCGGGTGGGGGGGTTGGAAAGAGGGGGTAGGAGGGCCAGCCGTGGGCTGGGGGGCCCACCGGTGGACGCAGGGAGGCTGGGACAGAGAAGGGGGGTGCAGCTGGTTGGGATTCCCCAAATTACCGCAATACCCCTCATCTCGCGAATCGAACGGCGGGGTCATTATCGCCGTATCTAGGCCCAAGATTGGCCCGAATAATACAGCTATAATAATAACCGTAGTACGCTCTACTCGGGGCAAGACCGGTAGACGGGTAGAGGGGCCCTTTCACACTGAATCACACAGACCCACCAGCCCCCCGAATAGACGGCATGGCATGTCATCAGACCCTTATCTAGCCTGACAGTTCTCGATGATGTGAACTCTTCCCCGGGGGGGAGAGGGCGGGGGGGGGGAGGGGAGGAGAAGGAGAGGTACCATCTTCCCCCGAACGGAATAGAACGCACCCTCGTGATGACTGCGTCCGTACATTCATAATGAGGGCGCGTTGTGTTCGGGGGAAAGTGGTTACCAACTTCTTCGAATACAACGCACCCTTATCATGGATGTATACAACCGGAATTCCCTGCCCGATACAGGCATGATGAGTGTGCTTTGTGCTCGGCGGAAGAGGGTGGTCGGTGCATTGACCGACTCTGAGGGCATACTCACGCTACCTTCTTCCCCCGAATACAACGTATGCCGGTCATTATAGCTGTATGTAGACTGAAAGATGCCTCAAATACAGCTATAATGATCGTACGTTGTATTCGGGGGAAGAAGATAGCACTTTACGAAGTGCATCTGACTTCAATTACGACCCAACGTGGATGAATCTGACTGCAATTATTACGTCCAGAGCTTTGTAGAAAAAGTCCGACTGTGAGTGTGCCATGAGTCCAGAAGGATGAAAACAACCTACACGGAGAAAAAGGAAACAGAAAAAGGAAAATAGCCCGTAAATGCCTCGGGAGCCGTCATCTGCCGCTGGGTAAATGATGGAGGAGGAGGAGGAGGAGGAGGAGGAGGAAAAGGAGGTGGTGGTGGGGCTGGGGAGATCAGTAGTACGGCAACAGTTCGTCCGTTATCAATGTCTGTAAAGCCAACGAGCAATTTGAAAGCCAACCAAGTTCGAACTGGGTGCAAACCGGGAACAAAAACAGTCATTCCTCACCCCACCAAGCATCAAACAAAACTCTCTCTCTCTCTCTCTCTCTCTCTCTCTCTCTCTCTCTCTCTCTCTCTCTCTCTCTCTCTCTCTCTCTCTCTCTCTCTCTCTCTCTCTCTCTCTCTCTCTCTGTGTGTGTGTGTGTGTGTGTGTGTGTGTGGCTGGTCGCCCATCAATTCACCAGTCTGCTGGTCCATCCCTCACCCGGCAATCTCTCTCTCTCTCTCTCTCTCTCTCTCTCTCTCTCTCTCTCTCTCTCTCTCTCTCACCCCCTTCCCCCTCTTGCCCCCCCAAATTCGTTTTTCTTCCATCTCTTTCCTTTTTAATGTAAATGTCCTGGTTCTTTCGATTGAGGCCAAGTTCCTTGTGAAATGCCTCTACAGGCTCTACTGTATTGTCAGCCTTCCTTCTCTCCCATTAGGTCCTCCGCCTCATTAGGCTCCGCATATGGTTATCGAACTCCATGCGGTGGGACTTGAGTAATCCTACTTGCCGAGCCATCCTTTTAATGTCCTCGACTTGCACGGGCAGTTGATATTTATTTTTTGTTTATCTTTTAAGAAAATGTTCTTCAAGTTAGAGTTCAACCCTTCGAGCACACCCACTATTGTGGGTCCAGAACATCGGGATTGATCTGCTTTTCTGCATCTCTTCATGAAACACATCCAGATTCAGACGCTTAACACAATCCTCTGTGCTAGTGGGACCTGGCCCCTGTTCACAACCTCGTATATCTGAACAGATTGGATTGAGCAGGACTAATCTTTTCGTACGAGATTAACCCGCCAATTGACTTAATAGCGTGTTTTTTTTTTTTTTTTTTTTTTTTTTTTTGGTCAAGGGACATTTATTCAGGATGCATCTGACCGGATATACAGCCAGATTCATTCCCGAAAGCATGAGCGGGACATCTTATCCAAGGGGATATCCAGACGCCGAGAAAAGGAACAACCACGTGGAGGCATACTCAAACGCCTGGCATTTCAGGATGCATTTGACCAGATATATAGGCAGATTCACTCCAGACAGTAGGAGTGGGATGTTCTATCCAAGGGGATATCCAGATGATAATGTACAGAGCTTGTAGGACGTACCTGAAGTACAGACATTTTGGGATGCATCGGACCGGATATATGGCCAGATTCAATCGAGACAGTCAGATTTCAGTAAGTTAAACTTGCCCTCACTGTACTCCTACATGTACTACCGCTGGCACTATCCACTACCCATCAACTAATTAATCATAATAACTATACATTAAAAGTCCAAACAGCACTTTGGAGGATCATAAATATAACGAAGGAAGTT